GAGGAAGTTTTAATTCCTTCTATGGTTACATGACCCCAGTTGCAGGATTACATTTTTAAGTCCTTATTTGCAGGGATTAGGTTGAGATCATATTTGCCAAAAGAAGCAGGTCAGCAGTTCACTAGGGCTCTCCCCTTGTTCTCAGTATCTTTATGCCCCTTTCCAAGGAAGGAGCAAACTCAAGAAAGTCCAAGGTTTTAGGATCAGTGATAGTAGCATGCTTTTGGTATTGAACTTGGAGTAGTTCAAGTGCATAACAAAGGCATGAAGAGCAGCCTTCTTCTTAGGGTGGCAAAAGAGGAGATCTGTGAGTCTTATGGATTCTAATTGATAATCTACAGGTAGGTTTTTGTGGGTTTTTCAGGCTGTGAGGCCATGTTTTAGAAGAATATATTCCTGACATTTTGTCTGCATCTGTGGCTGGCATCTTCAGGTAGCTTCAAAATGGCAGACAAGAGGGAGTAAATGAAAGTTATGAGGTTTCCATTAGGGCTGAGAAATCAGAAGCAATTTCTATGCCCTGGTGGCACAGTGTTTAAATGCCACTACTGTAGCCACGAGGTTGTGAGTTCAATCCCAGGGCTCCAAGGTTGACTCAGCCTTCCATCCTTTAGTAGGTCAATAAAATGAGTACCCAGCTTGTTGGGGGGCAATTGGCTTACAGATTTTAAACCACTTAGAGAGTGCTGAGTTCACTGATAAGCAGTATAGAAATGCAAATGCTATTGCTATTGCTAATTTTGGGTTAAGCTGGATTTAGAGTCCATAGAAATGTACTGACTCTGATTCTGGTTTCCAAATAATAACGTATAATATTATAACAACATACAGTAAATGTATCATTTCATATTCATATTTAAACTGAAATATAGGCTATGTTCTATCAGTCTCAGTAGGCTGGTGGTGGTGATGAAATCATAGAATTGGAAAAGACTCCAGGGGCCATCCTAGTCCAACCTCCCTTCTGCCATGCAGGAACTCACAATCAAAGCATTCCCAACAGATGGCCAAACCTCCAAAGAAGGAGACTCCACCACTCCCCAAGGGAACGTGTTCCACAGTCAAACAGCTCTTACTGTTAGGAAGTTCTTCTTAATGTTCTTCTTAATGTTGAGGTGGAATCTCTTTTCTGTAAATACTTCGAACTTCCATTTTACAAGAAATGTTTTATTAATTATAATATATACTTGACATTTATGAATAAGTCAGAGGGCCTTATCACATTACAAAAGTAAGCAGATAATTTTGCTTACCTTTCATGCCATTGTAGCACTTCTGTTTTCCTCCCAGAGACAATAGTAAAAGCATGCTTTTTGCCAAACAGATTTTTTCCCAGCATGACAAAAGGCACGCTTTAATGACCATGTCTCTTGGGAAGAGAATGTAAGTTCTTTGAAGACATGCAGAGAGATAAGCAGAAAGAGCTTCTCTCTCATTGTGTCACGGCTTACTTTTGTAATGCAATAAGACTCAGAGGCAGGGAACAGAAAAAATAGAAGAGTCAGAGTCAGAGTAGAAGATTTGGCATACCAGCTCCACAGCACTTTCCATATTCTCACATCTCTGCTACCTCAGAGAATTCTTGTATTTTTCTAATGCAAATGCCTCTCCTATCCAAATATTTTTATACAGATTCCATTGTCTTTATAGCACTGATGTTTGTATCACTTAAATCCATCTTGCATGCTAGAGGGGCAGTCAAATAGCTTTTCAGGTCTTTTTTCCTACTAGCTTTATGTTTGCTTATGTGGAGGCTGGAGTTTTGAATCATCAACAAATGACTGTCCTCACTGAAGAGAATGTTTGTTGTAATGAACTGCCTATTTGGAAGGGGGGATCTGCTACTACTAGCTACACCACTATGGCTGGATCTACACTGCAGAATTAATGCAGTTTGACACAACTTTAACTGAATGCTATGGAATTCTGGGTTTTAGCCTATTCTTTCTGAGAGCTCTGGTGCCACAACAAAGTACAGATTCCAGGATTCCATAGGATGGAGCCATGACAGTTAAAGCCGTATCAAACTGCATCAATACTGAAATGTGACAGCAGCCTATGCAAGAGATAGGAGGAGGTGTATGGGAGGAAGTGACAATATTCATCTATAGGGTATGGGCCAGCAGAACAGACAAGAAGGAACTCAGGGTAACTATCTCTAACCTTGCTTCCCTGCTGGAGGCACTTAGTGGACAAAATCAAATTGGGACACTAACCTGCTGCAAAAATGGCTTCACTGTTCTCAGAGTACAGTCCCTACTGCAACTAATATTCTGCAAGCACACTCAAAACTGTCTTTTTTATTTTTGACTTGGTGGGTGATGAGATAGATAACCAACTATTTTGCAATGGGATCAGCTCAAGGCCATAGTGTCCACTGTCTAGTCAATTGTGCAGCTATGGAATCCAGTGTGACTCTGCTTGCTTACATTTGTACTACACAAAAGTGCATAGGACCTTGTTCAGTTATTTCTGTCAATGTGGTTACACATTTTTTTCATCCCCAACATAACATACATTTAACATACAATTTAAAAACAACAACAACAACAACAACAACACACACACACACACATAGGTAGCGGTCATCCAGAATTGTAAGGTTCATTGCCACTAATATGCTGATTATGATCAATTCTCTCTTTTTCTCCCCACCGAAATCAAAATAAGCCACTCTAGTGCAAAATTAGTTTCTAATTCAGTTTCTGAGGAGCATGAGGACTTCAAAGAAGAGGCAAAGCGGAACAGCAGACAGAAGTGATCGTGAAAAATCCTGACACCAAGACTACCGGTTCAATTCACTTTTGACCTTTGAGCAGCCTGTTCAGGAATATCTCAGTCACCCTTACATATTATTATTACATATTGCAATATTTTTTATTATTGTTCTGCTAAGAAGTAGCACTGAACAGGAAATGCAGTCATTATCTGTGATCTGGAATATCTAAAAATCTGCCTGTGGACTCTTGAAAATTTGGCCCAACCCAAGGGCAATATGTTCAGATAATGTTTCTATGAGCAACTTCAGTCTCCTTACCAAGTGACCGCCACAGAGTGGAAATGATTGTTTACCTGGATGTGTCTTAAAGGTCAGCTCAGCTGTAGCTAAAAGATTGGGCAAGTGCGGAAAGTTCCCAATTTCTTTAAACATGTTGCTTGAATTTACTCCAGACTTGTGCTTCCATGCATGTTAAAACAAACCTTCTTACCCTTTTGTTGTTCGGGTGGTGATTACTGTAATTGTTGCTGATATGCTACATAAATGCACTGTTGGCATAAATTGTTCAATATGTTTGACCACTTTTCAGAGTCACCAATTTAGGAGTCTGTGAAACAGTTTTGGGGGGAAAACTAATTCTAAGGGAAATATTGCATATACTTCTGTATAAGTATAGAAATTTTAGTCAAAAACTTGACCCCCCCCCCAAAACCTGGGTCGACTTATCTATGGGTCAATGTAAGTACTATACTTTGTGTCTGTGTGGGTGTTGTGTGCCTTCAAATTGTCTCTGAGGGGAGTTGCAGACTGCCAGAAATAGTGCAACTTGAGTCCACTTTTAGGGTTAGGGTTAGTGCTAGGGAATCATGGGAATTTTTTTTCTGAGACATTGAGCCTTCTCTGTCAGAGAGCTCTGGTGCCACAATAAAATACAGTTCCCATGATTCCCTAACCCTAACCCTTAAAGTGGACTCAATTTGCACTATTCTGGCAGTCTGCAACCCCCTGACTTATGGTGACTCTAAGGAAACCTATTACAGGGTTTTCTTGGCAACTTTCTTCAGAGGGGGTTTGCCATTGCCATCCTCTGAGGCTCAGAGAGTATGGACTTTATCACATGGGGGAAATCCTGTGCAGAAATGGGGTTTTAAATTGGGGGGGAAAACCCGCAAAAGTGGATAGATAGATTTTCCCACGACATTGTTGTTAAAATGTTGTTAACCCAAACTGAAAATAGTCCAAAGCCAGTAGTCTTTTGACTTTCAGAAAATCCTGAAAGTAAAAAAGGAGTGGCTTTTGACTACTTTCTGTTCTGTTAAACAACAGTTTAACAACAATGTATGTGAAAATCAACCTGCTTTGCAGAGTTTTTCCAGCTTTTAAATCCCATTTTTGCACAGGATTTCCCCCATGTGATAAAGTCCTATGTCTTGCCTGAGGTCACCTAGTGGGTTTTCATGGCCAAGCAGGGATTTGAACCGTGGTCTCCGGACTCATATTCCAGCACTCAAACCATTATACCACACTGGCTCTTTAACTCTTATAAAAAAAGGAACCATCAATTTCTCTGAGTAGAGAGGTGAAAGGCGAGTACTATGGAATCCTGGGAATTGTAGCTTGTTGTGGCACCAGAACTCTCTGGCAGAAAAGGCTAAATGTCTCACAAAACTACAATTCCCAGAATTCTATAACAGTTAAACTGGTGTCAAACTGGATTATTTCTGCAGTGTGGATGCATCTGGATTTAGCGGAAAGTGCAATGATGAAAGCATGTACCATAAATAAGACTGAATTATTTCTGCAGTGTGAATACAGCCAGAGACAACTTATTTTTCTCCAGTTTTAAATTTTTCCCCCTTTTAGATAGTTACAAATTATTTTATAGCCATGATGTATTAATTGGATAGGACTTTTAGTAAGTAAAACTCCAAGGTATTTGAATCTTGAAAAACAAAGATCAGATTCATATGACTTTAAGTTCCTTTTGAACTACCAATTGTAGGTTTATACAAAGTAGTTTAGCTTTGCTACAAATTATTGATATTTCTTTTAGAGGAGGTCAGCTGGTTTCTTCATCAGGCAAAGCTGTCAAAAATCACACAAGAGAAGAAGAAGAAAATGATGAAGTTTGAATTACAACCCTACATTTTGTCAAGATGTTATTTATGTTGTTGTTAGTTAGGATGGTCGGGAGGGATATCAATGTAGACAGAGGTCACTTGCCTCTTTGGCCATGTGGGTACTGGAAGACAAAGAGTTGTAAAATTTTATGATTTTACAACTTTTTGTACAAAATGCTATGTATACCATTATCCCTTCTTTTTTCTTTTTTTAAAAAGAACCTCTGAACTTCTAACATAAGGACAAACAATATGCTTGGTAGAAACCAGAGACCTTTTTACAAAAAATAAACCCCTTACAGCTAATCAATTTAAAGATAAAATTGGAAGAGTTAAGACCACCTTAGTTTCAGATTATTCAAGTTACTGCATTTGTACAACCAAAATGCACAATATACTTGTTGCAAGTTTTTGAAGCTCCACTGGCTTCTTCATCAAGCAAGATGTTACAAGCCAAACAGGAGAAAAACAATTGGAGATGTTAGTCAGATGCCTGCATTTTGATGTTTCCGTCCTTAGTTAAGATGATAAGGGAGGGTATCTTTTGCAGGCTGGCCCCTTCTTCTTCTTGGCATATAGTTATTGGGAGATTTGCAAAGACCAAGAAATTTAAAGCCAATTTACATCTCAACAAGGGCCCCTCTCTTGCAATCCTATATATCTCCATTCCTATGAGGTCACTGTTTGGTGTATTTTTACTTGAATTTGCTAAATGGTCAACCCAGATACCCCTGCATGCATTTGTACAGTATATACGTAGATTGCTAGGATCAATAAGAGCTTTGAAACTACATGTGTAAGTAATCAATTCAGAATTAGTTTCAAACATTTATCAAAACATAACAGAGAGTTCATTTGGTACAAACAGGGGCAAAGTTAGTTTAAGAATCAAATCTATCTATCTCCCTATCTATCTCTATTAGATGAGAATTGGGGGGAAATTTAGACTACCCCAAATCATTTTCTGCTATTTCAAAGCAGCTTCATTTATATACCGCTTCATATCGTGCTATGGGAT